TTTAGAGATGTGTAGGTTGTTTGGGGTTTCATGATGAATTTGATAACGTGATGATCGTGATGAAAATGGTGATAAATTGATGTCGTAATGCTGTGAAATGATGTATATGAAGCTTACTATGATGTGTTCGTGTGATAATGTAAAACCATGATGAATAATGTGAATTTTAGGTCTGTTATATGGAGAAATTGCAAGGAAAATTGGGATTGGACTGTGTAGAAAACACAACAACATGTTGTTGTCTCACGTGTCTCGTCTGGCGAGCAGGATGCTTCATCGAGAGAAGGTACCTTTCCCCTGATGCTCCGAACGAGAGAGAAGAAAAGGGAACTAGAGGAAAGGAAACAGAGCCCTGGATTTTGTATGGAGGAGGGTGACTCGCCCCAGCTTCATTGGCTGAAGCATATGCGAGTGTGAGCTCGACGAGCGAGCGAGTATGTTCGCTGGGTGAAGGAAGCAGAAGAAAAACTAGAGCTCTTGGGATTTCGTATGGAGAGGTGACTCAACCTAGTTTCACCGGGAGGCGAGGGGTAGGTGGCAGAATCTCTGAAGTGTCGTAACTTGAGTTCCCAGATTCTTTTTAATGCATCGTTTGAAGCTTTGGGTAGCTGACGTGATGACTTTATGATGAATTCGAGAATGATGATGCGTTTTACTAGCAGTCTCGGTGTTTTATTGTGTTATTGCACATCATGCTTTCATGGCATATATTAGGACTTGGGTCCAATGATATTGTTAGGACGATTGGTCTAGTGATGTTATTTGGACGATTGCTCCAGTGATGATGATAGGACGTCAGTCTAGTGATGGCCTTAATCCCATAATGTTGATTGAATGAAATATCATGATGTGCCCTGGTTCCAAGCGGGAATCGATCCTATGGTGGGGGATATTTGGAGGAATATAACTTGGTAATCGGTGAATTTTTGGTACCACACGCGTGACTCAATGATGTAGCATTACATTATTTATGAAATTGCATATGATTGATTAATTGGTGTTATTGATATTATGATCTAAGTGGTGTTTGATGGTAGATGTTAATGTGATGATATGATTATATACCTGATGTGTATTACTGATGCGAAAGTGTGAGTATAGTTTATCAAGTATGATCATAGTTGGAATTTATGATCAACGAATGTTGTGCTACTATATCTATCATAGTGTGTGAATGTGGCCTCTCTACATGGGTAACTTGTAGGTAATCAAGAATAGAATTTGAAGCTCGAGGATAGCTTTATGGAATCTTTTAGTTGTTTATTTCAAATAAAGAGGGTCTTGCTATGATATGCAACATCCATGTCTTTGGGATCGTGTTAACCGAACTACATGTTCTTTGTTAACATGATGCATTGAGATGTTTTATTTTGTTTTGAGAAGTTTTGAAGTTTAACTTATGAATCATGAAGTGTGATGGTATTTTATTTAAAGTATTTAATAAAGATGCTTTGAGAAAAACCACTGCGATGTGTTGATGTTTCATGATGATATTTGTTAGTTCCATGGTTGGAAATTTTTTGGCTAAGCATGGTTCTAAGTATGGTTATACGTTAGTGTTGAGTTAAATGGTGCATTATCTTTATCAACTGTCATAACATGTTTTAGTGTTATGAGTTTTTCTAGATGTCATAGAAGATGTTTTGACATCCTGTGGCTGATAAAGGGGGTGCTTATTTTGGATATCCTTTAATATTTGATTTGAATATATGAGTATTTGGAATATTCTGTACTCATTATAGTCGCAGGCCAATCAAGGAATTTTTAAGATATATTTAGAGATTTGATTGGTTACTAAAAAGGATCAGTAACGACTTTTTAGGAAACTATTTATGAAGATTATTTCTATTTTTATGGAGAATATTCTGCAGAGATATTTTAGCTAAATATTGGAGTTAATTGAAGAATCAAAGCCATTCCAAGCCCAACTGCAGAAGTTTATATAAGGAGTCATCCAAGACCTAGTTTTTGAAGGATAGTTTTTATTGTAAAACCTTGCGAAAAATAAGGGTTTAGGGTTTGATAGGTCCTTAGGTTATCCATTTGTTTTTGTACATCCTCGTGTACCTATGATACATTTGAGTTGACTGAGTGTTGCTTGTTTATTAAGATATTATTCTCCTCGAAGCTGTGAAACAAGAGTTGAGCATTATTTTTGGATGAAGCTTTTAAGAAACTCCTAGTATTGGATTTGGAAGTGTGTTCTTCCTATTTTATCTTTAGGTTGTTGTGACTGTAACTTGATTAGAGACTGCCACTAGGATTATGGTTAGTCTATTTTATTACTGTGGTGATTGGAAGTGGGATATCTATTTCACATATCTAGGGAGGACCTAGGTAGAAGTTGCATTGGGTAGGGATTAGGCGCGAATTTGGATGATTAGGACTAGTTTAACTCTAAAATAATACTAATAATAGTGGATTTTCTTCCTAGCTTGGTAGCCCCACAAGTTATATTTCTGTTGTGTTATTGTTTGGTGTTCTGTCAGCAAATGTCATAACATTTGTTGTGACATTGTGTGTTGTTAAGACATTGGTCTTGACTTTTGTTTGTGTGCGTGCCAGAATTTCAATATTTTCAAAGAGATAAATGTTTTAATTTTTGAAATGTTTTATATGAAGAAGTGATACCCATGTTGGGATTTGTGTTTGAATATTGGTTATTTATTCACGAATATCTATTAGGGTTTAGAAGGGTGTTGCACCCTTATCGTGAAGGTACAATGGATGTTTTAGAGGCTAAAAAAATGTACAAGACACCTCAAACCATACCGACCACTTTGTTCTTTAAATCTCCCTTTATGGCTGAGGTTGACACTATTCTCTGGTACATTAAATTGTTCAAAAAATGGATATTATGTCATAGACTAAAATCTAGTGGTAGAATACACACTTTTGATGTAGCATATATTTAGAGGCATATAGTATCCAAAGTTTCTACGAAAGGTAGAATACACCCTATATGAGTTATAATTAATTTTCAGGATATCTGGTGGTGTGAGTTCAATTTGCACAATTCCAACATGGTGTTGAGCAAGCGACATGACAATGGTTCTTTAGCAATGCTCATAGTATATTTCTTGAATTTTTTTGACATGGTAGAGAAATAGTCCATAATATATGAGGTGATGGAAATATATTCATCTAGATCTTTGTTGATTGGGTTTCTTATGGTTAGATAGAGAGGTTTTAGCTTTGCGATTGACATATATGTTATCCTTTAAATTAAAATGATGCAATTTATTATGGTAGTTCCTTTATTTTCTTATGTTACACTATCTTATATTTATAACATCAGAGACAATTGAAAGTATTTTCATGTGTGGTCTTGAGGATGAGACGGTCATATGAAATTTAAATTAGATGTGTCCTATATTGAGACTTGAATTAAATATTTGTAAGAGTGATATCTTTTGGCCTTTGTGTGGTGGTAGTCTGGAGGGGGTTGGATGGGTGGGGTTTTCTTAGGATATAATTGTCCGGGTTATTGAGTTAATGCATATTTTTCAATAGTTAAGGGATCCCCATTGTGAGCTTCTTTTACTTTGATCATGCATGAATAACACCAAAGAAATTTTTTAACCTAAACACATGTCAAGGGATTCAAATGGAGGAGGTAAATATATGGTTTGGCAAAGATGTGAATGGCGATTGAAGACATCATGGTTATTAGAAGTATTTTCTTAGAGAATCTTCAATGAAGTGACTTCTCTACTTATTTGATTTGGGTGATTAAATTCATACATAGTGGTATAGGATGCCTCGTACTCTTTATTTGCTTCCAAGGCTCAATATCAAGTGTTTCAAGGACATATATTAAGAGGCAATGGAATATTGACATGGACATAGATTTTGATAGATCTTTGTTGGGTCTTAGTGGTATGATTCCATGTGTTGACCTTAGCAGCTTTGGATCGCCCTACATATTTTGGAAATTGACCTTTTAGTAAAAGCTATTCCCGGGTGTTTGAAAACACCTTAAGCATATGATTTTCTCCTAACTACTTCTATTTCTATTGATTTCCTTATTGTCTATTGATTAAGTTAGCACTTTTTATGGTAAGGCATGATGTCCATTTTCCACGGGATGGAAAAATGGACATTATGACTAACATATATTCTAGCGTATGGTAGGAGATAAATATGCATATATGTACTTAAATGAGGTTTCATCACTTGTTAGACTAAGGAACGAATGTTTTAATCTAATACCGATAATCCTCAATGTTGATTCAAGTATAATATAAGAAAATGTGTTATGACGATCAACAAAATTTGATATAATTATTTTTGAAAGTTTTGTCTTCCTAACACTAAAGATCGTCGACCTTTTAAAAATAGTCTAAAAACTCATACATAACTATATTATGTCTTCTAAAGTTGTAGATGTAGACTTTATGAGATTTGATTTTCCATTCTTGTTTTCCCACCTTTCTTTTCTGTAATCTTTTTTAATTCTATACGTAAGAGCACATCTTTACGTATAATGAGAATGCTAAATTATTTTAAGAAACAAAATATTTAAACAAATAGATATCATGTTTCATTTGGTTAGAATTAATACATGAAAAATTCAAAACTGTTTAAATTACTTCACTTGTACTGACTCAATATTTCATTGAACAAATTTGATGAAATAAAACTATTATCAAACAAATTTTAACTAAAATAATTAAAATAGAACTATTATTATTATTAATATCAATTTCTATTAAAAGCAATTATCTATTGTTTATTTGCGGCTATACAAGTTTTGTTAGGGTGCATTCATTTTGTTGGATTAAAATGCATTAGTTGATTAATAGGTCAAATAGTTACACAAAAACTCAACTTTCATAGTTAAGAATGCATTGAAGGCCGTAATTAAAAATCGTAACTCCTTTAAGTAGCCAACAAATCTAACCACAAAACGCTTTTAGCAAAGTAAAATAAGGAAAGTTAAACTAATCTCTCTCACTCTATATAAGACCATCAATCATCCTTTTCCTTCTCGTCGAATCCAAAACCAATTTCTCTCAACAAAACTCATCCCGATCCATATTAGGCAGTCCAGTGGATCGGATACTGGTGGTAAAAACAAACAAAAAAAACTCATCAACTTATCAATATCAATGGCTTTCTCCAAATCCTTCATCTTTTCTTTACTTTTGGTTGTAACAATGACAAGCATGAACATCGAAGCTCGTCATCTTCTTCAAACAACCACACTTCCACATCCTACCATTCCAGCATCTTTTCCAGATTTGGATGTAATGCCATCATTGCCCAAAGGAAGTCTTCCACCATTGGACAATTCCATCCCATCTCTTCCTAAGCACATCATGCCATTTCCCTTTCCTTCGGTTGATCCAACTATCGATGTTCCACCAGTGTCTGCTCCAGCTCCTGCTCTAATTTCCGATACTCCTAAATCACCCCCTTCCTTTTTCTCCTTCTTCCCATTTTTCTCCAAGACTGTTTAGATCTCCAACCCTTAAGCATTCCTTTAAAAGTTGCATTATGTAATCAGATAAACATATGCAGTATAGTACATACATTGCCTCGTTCTTTTTATCGAGTGTGGTGAAATTGCACGAGGTTATAATGATAGTAGTATTTTTGTTGTATTAATTGTAATTGTTAAGAAATATAATATGAATTACACCAAAATAGAAGTAAAGTGTAATTACCGCTATTCCTTTTTGGATTATTGTTCTACAAAACACCTCCAACCACTAATCTATAAACAATTCTTCACAAGTTGCATTTAATTTATCAAGTGTGATGAAATTGAATGAGGTTATAATTATAGTATTATTTTTGTTGTATTAATTGTATGGTTAAGAACTACACCAGAATGGAGACTTGTGTCATACTTGAAGTTCCTATCATGTTATCTTTCTTGTTGGCATAACTGGCTCAATAAATCATGAGGCCTAACGTAAAATCTAAAATATTTATAAAAAAAAATAAAAATATATATTTATAAAATTTGTAATAATTTATTATTTTAAAATAAATGAAACCATCAATAAAATTCTTAAATTATTAATTTCTTCAATGAAGCTTCTAAATAATATTAAATTAATTAATAATATTTTAAATATAATAATTTTATTAATTTAATCCTTGATTATTATTAAACATTTATCATGTTACTTTTTATCATCTTAATCGTGTGAATTAAATGTGATAGTTTTATGTGCTTCTTGAACTAAAAAATAAAAATAATTATTTATTATATTAATATAGTTTATAGACAACATTAAAAATAGAGTATTATTTTGGAAATTTAATTTAAAATTATTCATTAAAAAATTTATTTTTATTCGTTTGAAAACATTAATAGATCTTAGTCAATGTTTTTTTAACCAAATAAAAATAAATAAGATATTAAAATTAAAATTTCTCAAATAAAAATAAAACATAACTATATATATTACATTAATTTCATATATTAAAAAATATTTTTATAAAGTTTTAAAATAAATAATTAATCATACCATATAAAATGTCATATGTATTATTGCATCAATTGCCAATGTCTTTGAATAAAAATGGCTAATATGAATTAAAATTGATTAAAGACAAAGAAAAATGAGACTTAAACTTGAGAGTAGTGGGAGTCGAACCATTAACTTCCAAGTCCTTAAAAAACTATTGTACCGCTGGGCTACTGCATATATTATTTTAATGAATTGCTTTTTCTTTTATTTATTTAATGATTTACTTATTTCGAGGCCAACTATATATTGCATAAAGGGGAGGCCCAAGGCGAATGTCATCCTTGCATTTCCATTTGGTCGGGCCAGCTTGTTGAAGCACCAAAGAAAATATACAATTGACAGGTGGTAGAGGGCTCATAAAGAAAACTTGAGCACACATTATATCAAATTGATCATTGAGACATGTGTAAAATGAAATTGAACATGTGATATCATGACGATGTCTAGCATTGCTGACACCCGTAGTGTAGACACGCCGATGTGGAAAAGCACAAAGAGGTATAGGTAAGTAAGCCTGAATTTATTCACATGGAGTCTTGAAAGATGTAAAGAACTCAGAAACATAAATTCTAATGTAATCACCTTAAGAGAATCATTCTTTGAGTTATTGTTGCACGACTTTGAAGACTTCTCTTTGGAGAAAATCCAGAAACATCTTCGAAATGAGGAGGAATCAAAGGAAAGGGAGAAATCATAGTCAATTGATCTTTCCAAAGCCAATGTTGTGACCGACAAACAAAAAAACAAACATGATGGAGTGAAGAGTCATCTTAGACCTAAAAAGGAACATAACAAGTTCAATAATTTCGGTTGTATGAAAGGTCTGAAAAGTGGTTGTTTCGTATGTGGAAAACCTTGATGTTCTCGAGATTGCATGCACAACAAGTCAAAAAATGAGATAAATGCAGTTCATGCAAATGATCATATAATCTCTACAGTGAGAAAAATAATGGCAATCGAAGGCAAAGTGCAAGGTTTATGGTATGATACATGTGCTACAGTGCATGCCTCTTATGACAAGTCTGATTTTAAAACCTATTCTGAAGAAAATGATGGACAAGAAGTAAATAAGGGAAATGAAGTATGATCAATAGTTGTTGGAACCAAATATGTTGAACTCAACTTCACATCCAGAAAGAAAGCCACCCTTGTCAATGTGCTTCATGTCCCCGATATGAATATGAATCTTGTTGGTCGAGATTTGTTGGGAAAATAGGACATTAAATATGTATATGAATTGGGAAACTTATATTGACCCATAATGGTGTATTTAGTGGAAAAATATATTCTGCTGAGGGAATGATCAAACTCTATACTATTATTAATAAAATTTCTAATTCTGCTCAGATGCTTGAGTTTGTTTCTTTATGGCATAATGGATTTGCACAAATCGGTATTAGTTATATGATGAGACTAATTATATCCGATTTGATCTCGTGTAATATAAATGATATCGAAAAATGTGAATTATGTGTTAATTTAAAGATGATTAAGAAACCTATAAAAAGTGATGAAAGAAATTTAAATCTCCTTGATCTTATACATTCATATTTGTGTGAATTTAAACGCATCTTAACTCGCAAAAAAACCTAGAGAGGAATAATTTTCTTGGAGTATCGAGATGCTACCCGAAAGTTCTTCTCTGATCATAGAATCATAATCCATGTCTAGGATAAGAAATAGATTCTGGAAAACAAAGGATCTCAAACGAAACAAAATTTATTCTCAACTTATTTCCTTTTATATAGTTGGAGGAAACTATGAAAAATATGTTTGAGACATCCTATTATTCATCAAGTAGTAGATGATCCTAAAACTTACAAGTAAGTAGTGGTTTCAAGAGACTCCTCCTTTTGGAAGGATGTTCTCCAAGATGAAATGGATTCAATTAGGTTAAATGACACTTGAGAACTAGTTGACTTACTGTTTACCGTGAAAATTGGTAAACAACCGCTGATCTTCCAAAAAGGGTAATTTTTTGGTTACTTGCAGGATCAATCAATTTGATCCTAGGACATATGCTAAATATTTGTGTTGTTTTGATAAAAATGCTAATTTTAATAAATAACACATTCGACTTAGAATGGTAGAGGTTTGAGATGAGTTTAAGTGTAGAAATTTGGTAAAAAGCGCAAGTAAAATGCAAGGGAAAATAAACTTTGCATGTAAGATAAAAGGTTGTAAGCAAGAATGGCAAGGAATGTAAAAAGGAACGTACAAGACTTTGATTATAAAATGTGGTGTTTCAAACGTACATTCTCAGTACCCTTTCTCACGCAGCGGGTACTCGAATAGTATTGAGTGACTTGTACAATTAGTTGAACAAACGGAAATCTACATAAACTTCCTATATTTATACTAGTAAAAAGTAACTGCTCGACGATTACTTCAATCCAGGATTAGGACAAGTGTCCTTTGCATGTTCTTCAATCTCCAACTTCATGCCATGTTGCTTTCTTCAACTGCTAGGTGAACTGCTTTTCCCTCCTTTCTTCAGCTTCGAAATCAAATTGTTGTTGATATGAATGCTTCCAGGTTGAAGGCTCTTACAAGATCGAAGCCTCTAGGTCGAAGACCATTTCTAACTTAGAGAATTCTCTAAGTCTTTTCTTCTCCTTAACAAGGATGACTTCGATAGGCATTTTCAAAGGATCTCAATTCGAAGTATCTTTGAATTAGACTATGTTTCCAAATCTAAGGGTCTTTAATTTAGACTTCTTCAATCTCTTAGATTTCTTCAATCTATTTTTAGCCAATAAGGCCAATGTGTCTGGGTGTCGAATTTAGGAGCTAACAAATTTCCCCCCAAGAATGTCAATTTCGACGCCAGAAGAAATGGTCATTCTTTGTTATTCCTATTCGACACTTGTCTTCTTTTTGGAAACAAAAGTTAATCGTGCGCTTTTCGCCTTCTACCAACCACTGCTGGTATTCAAAGTCATCATTACCCTTTTCCCAAGACGTCCCTATCAGTCAGTCGTTTTCATGCTGCCATGATGGCAATTATCCCTACAACCTAGGAAAGTATGGAAAATGTTTCCAACACCTGTACGATAACTGCCTCAACGTTCGCCATGTACCCCACTAACTTTGCAGCATTAAATGGTTTTGAGGGAAAACACTCTTCCATGGACAATATAGATAGCCACATATTCTCTTCTTTGGAATTTTTACAACTCATAATATTCCTCATTTCCTTGCAAAAATAAATCTTAAGAACTTCATCTTTTTCGTTCTTTTACTACCCTCGACCATGGCTTTCCTTTCAAACGCACCAAACAATCCCAAAACCAAGAAAGTTTCTGACTTACAATAACAACCAGAAATCTTTTCCACTGGTTATGTTTCTGCTTCGAGTGGGGAGCGAAGGGTTGTTTCTGAACCCATGACTAGAGAATGGCGTGAAGCTTACGATTCTCAGGTACTTATTCCCATTAGGTACTCTGGGTTTATGTACGCCATGTCTGGTCCACTATCTGCTTGCCTTGAGAACCCCAAGCAGAATAATGCCTTATTCCCAAATCACCCTAGGCTAAAGCCTATAGGTTGCATGAAGAAACCCAAGAATGACCCTGAGGATGCTACTCCTGCTAACCAACAGCACTCCCAAACGAAGGAAGACATAAACCTTCAGTTTATGAACAAGGGGAACCAGAACTTTTGATATTGCCCTAGCGTTACTTCAGAGTATTCAGATTAGCTATGTAAGATGGAAACAATGCAGACCCAAATCTGGAAAGATATGGGGATTTATGACTTGGTCATGTTATCAAAGACTGGGTTACCTTATTTCCCTCTTATGTTGGTATCTTCGTTGTACTTCTGGGATAGCACGCATTTCACTTTCCATTTACCCTGTGGAATGGTGACTCCAA